GGCCCAAGCATCTTAGTCGCAACAATTCTGCGTTGAGAATTGCTTCCCTTAGGAAAACCAGAAACCTATGACCGTTGGTTCGAATCCTGATCCGCCGTGAGTTTACCTGACATAACATAAAGTGATATAACCGAAAAACTGTTCAAAATCAACTCACGTAAAGGCAGGGATCCGTGGTGGTTCTAAAAGGCTGTACGCCGAGGCCATGATGAAACCCCGGTCTCAAAACAATGCATCGCATGTCAGATCGTGTTAGATGTTCTGCTAGACGTGGGACCTACATAAAATAACGGTAATAAACACATGCCAGTGACGAATACGTTTGGTATTCCCCAATCCCGAGTCTGTCACGGAGTTTAAAGACCTTCCATGTCCTTTTACGAATGCATGTCATGTCTTTAAACATTAATTTGTGGGCAGTATGTTTTGATGGCTGCTTAGTGAAGGCTTTTCTAAGGAAATGTATTTCTTTCTAACCTCGAATGTTATAAGTTTTGCACCTTGCATTCCTTGTGTACAAATCATGTTGGCATCATTCATATTTTTAATGAGTTGGTATACGTGTTGTAAGTTGTACTAATGGAAAAAACCCAGAATTTGGTCACTATATTGTAGTTAACAACTAAAAACCATTCCTTAAAGACATGTTCCAGTTATTCTTGTTCAACCATACAAAGTAAGATCACTAAAAAGAATATGTATCCAGATGAAAATAAAAGCAACAAAGCACTTTCCAGAATTTTAAAGAATGGGTCCATTACACGATTCCAACAGCACAATGAACTTTTTATTTATGAATCATCAGTAAATAGTGATGATACCAGATGTTCGAAAATGTTTTCCAATGTAATTATCACATTGATTTCTTGTCTCTATTTTATTCGTTAATAGTTCTACGAGATTGTGTTTTTCGAAATGTCACGTACACATGTTTATCATTAACAGTAAAATATTTTGTAATCTATTTTCAACAAGAAAATGATTGAGCATCGGGTGCGGAGAATGCACCAATTCATATAAATAAGAGAATCGACGTGACCTGACGGCTGACTCCATCGTCCATCAGAGACAAAACCGTTCCGAAATTAACGAGCCAACGATTGAGCACAAGAGGAAAAAACAGACATTACTTATCAGACAAATATATCACCAGAGGGCGTTCGAAGTCAAGCTGACTACCATAGAAGTAGTTTACTTCACGTGTAGTATACAAAACCATTCCTTCTCACGACATGCGGTCATTTATCAGTTACTCGATAGTTCAGATACATTTCCATCAGTATGAAATACTGGTACACGTTCTCTCCAGCCAAAGGTCGATGAAAACACTCCTAGAAAGTAATTCAATCTGTGGTTGACAAGAAAGTCATATATTTGTTAATTGATTTTTGTTTCCGTATTCGTTCATCGCGCATTTTCGCGACTTTGGACTGGTATATGCCGGGCCTGCATGTGAAACGATGAGTGAGTGGGTATGGTTATACATCGCTTTCAGCAATGTCCCATCAATATTCTGAGACCTTGGAAATTGGCTTCACATATTGTGCCAATATAGGGAATCGATCCCAATCACGCGTCGGGCGAACGCTTTAACCACTGTGTTACCTGATGAAGCAGGGAAGGCATATCTAACACCTTGTTTCAATACCCTTTGATTCATAAATGCATGTTTGTGGTATATATTTGTAATGATACAATGAACACTGTTTATACAAGATATTTCTGATGATTGTTGAAAAGTGTTTGTCGTATTTGTCACTGATGATGAACAAACATAGTCACAATACAGTCTTTTGATTAACTGTTATTTGTGATGATAGCAGTGATGTTACCTGTGATGATACCTTCTGTGTGGGTAACGTAGTCAATAGAAAACAAAGCTCTATTGTTTACATATTGCCTTGATCTTTTCAAAAATGGATAGTTCTAGTTCTACCTTTTCGACTTGTGAGTTGTTTGCATATGAATAATTGTCGTGTCTTTGCGTGTGTTTTGACATGTTATGATAGCGATGGAATCGTACAGTAGATTTCTTTTTATAACGGAAATGACTGTGTCACCTTTACTTACATGTGGTCATGACGCTTGTATTTTAATGAATTATGTAATAGGCTTGGAGCTAGGCTCATTGGTTTCACTTCCAACTACAGCTTTGTCATCTCATTTTTATTACCAAAAAACAGCAACACTAAAGCAAATAGGCCTGTCACATAATGTAATTGCTAACAATATCTGTTTAAATCTTTGCACGGATTTCATCACTCTCGTTCATATCAATTCAAACTCAATTTCATACTAGCCAATCGTCGGCTGAATCATGTATTGGCAAAAGGTTCATTATCGTTGTCATTGAACTTGCAATGAGGTTTTGGATTCGGCGATCAGCTGACGGAGTGGTACATGATATACAAAGGCTGAGAGTCTCATTAAATTCCCACATACGATGTTGTATTGATGCAATTGGATCAAGGGGACGCGTTGTTGGATTGGATTAGACAAGGAGTCCGGTGGGAACCACAAAAGGAGTATCTGATTAATTTTCTTTACGTTCACTACGCTATGGCTGTATGAACCGGTCCACTGGGACGATATACATCAATATGATATAATAAAGAAAAATCATTCTATAGAACGTAGTCAAGGAACCATGGTATGTTCTTCATTCGATGTGTGTTTTTGACAAATGATTCCATTTGAACACATTAGATTTCACGTTTTAAACATGAAATGCATTTCGTGAAAGCAGAATTTTAAAATTATGATCTGATTGCTTCTGTTGTTGCTGCATGTCTGGTTTACAAAACTGTCCAAGCAAAGACTGTATCTAATGCCAAACGTACCCGTGAAGATCCGGGTTAGAATTGGTCTTCAGCAACCCATGCTTGTCGTAAGAGGCGACTAACGATATCGGGTGGTCAGGCTCGCTGACTTGGTTGACACATGTCATCGGTTCCCAATTGCGCAGATCGATGCTCATGCTGTTGATCACTGGATGTCTGGTCTAGACTCGATTATTTACATAAAGTCGCCATATAGTAGGATTTGCTGAATGCGGCGTTAAACAACTAACACACACAAATAACGCCAACCGCCGTCATAAAGAATCATTTTCATCAGCAAGTCTGTTTTCACTATGAAAAAGTAAATTCTTTATAGAATGAGAATACAATGTCTCTGTAGGGCAACCACCCTTCAAATATAAACAAATAATGTATTTTGACATTATCTTTATCTTTCTTTCTTCATCTGCGTTCAAACAATATTGCGGTACGAGAGACCAGGCAATCCGATGTGCAGAGTTCCCAATTGTGCCACAGTTAATTGATTGGGATCTTGGGATCTCAGAACCATTACCGCGCTTTGGTATAAGGCCAGCGCTCTGTATGCATTACTTTGGCGGTGCCCTCTACAATAACAGAAGCAGTTGAACGACAAGCAAAGGCTGTGAGACCTACATGACCAAAATGCATAAGAATGGGATTCCAATTCGGCATGCGATTACAATGTCGTATCTGCAAGAGAAATGTAAATAGAAACATAGGGGAGGATAATACACTCACAAATATGTCAGTCTCATGTTTAAAGAAGAAGGGTTGATGATTTGAAGACAAACAATATACGATGATCATATGAAATCTCAATGTGAGCTATAGCATATATGTGCACATGTATAACTATCGAATATAGATGATATCATGTGCTCGCAACTATGTGAACGTATCCTTCCCCACCGTTGGCACCCGTCATAAATACATGGAAAGGCTACTCAATTGTTCACCTAAAACACGCACAGCCAGCCACACACACACACACAGCCACACACACACGCAGCCACACACACAGCCAGCCACACACACACACATGGAAAGGCTACTCAACTGTTCACCTAAATTACGCACAGCAACACACACAGCCACACACAAATAAACACATGACATACACAAACACAAACCAAAGCGTAAAACGAACAAACGAAAATAATCATACACACACATGCACGCACGCGCACGCACGCACGCACGAAACCATATGGTACCAGTCTTAATCGTTTTTTGTGTCAGACGCATTTATTGTCACTGCTGCGGTAAATTTAAATATTATAACCCTGATAACTATTAATAAAGTGCCAAGAAATGCTTCCATAGTCATACAAGAACCCTACTGAAAGCGGAGTTCACTGCCTGATTCCAACAACATCAAAACGTGTCTATTAATCACTATAAATTATTGATTATACCAGCAGACAATCGCGAAATGCGAGATCAAACCCTCCACAACAACGTTTGAACAAGAGTTGTATGACGCTCTCTGAAATAATCGTAGAAAGTGCATGCTAGATTGTACCTCAAAGGATGGAGCTGTGGTATATTGCTTAACATTACGAACGTTGGCTGTTGGACAACAGAAGTCAGTCCTCTTGTCACACAGTCTTAAGCTTATCAATAAGCTGACATGCTGTGAGTAACAGCTAAAAGCAATGTTAAACCCAAATCTGCCAAAAGGTTCCAAAGAACGCAGGTAAAAATGAATGTCACAGTGTTTTTTTCCAAATTATAACAGTATCTGTGTTTTGAACTACTACTACTACTACTACTACTACTACTACTACTACTACTACTACTACTACTACTACTACTACTACTACTACCACCACCACCACCACCACCACCACCACCACCAAATGTGTATGTGTGCAAACTTGGCCTCGTGAAAATGTGTACCCAGTCTAGACTATCCTTAGAGACAATTTCCGTTTATTGTAAATGAAAATTAACTGAATGGATCACTGAAAATCAGTGATGAAGCCAACACTGTCAAAATAGTTTCTTAGCTTTACCTGGATACATGGTTCTGAAGAGTCACTGACCTCATTATTTACCTGTTGCTTATCGTGCTCAATCTTATAAACATAAGATAGGCTCTGGTTTAATTTCCTATCGGAAATGAGCTGGTTCATCTGCTGGCTAGCATAATGAGTACACCAATGTTCTGACATTCAGAGACAAGCGTTTCCTGTGGGTTGAAGGCGGTAACACCATAGATAAGCTGTGGAAGACGTATCCAAGTCCTGACTATCTTCTTGAGGATTCCCCGACAGGGTAAGTGCCCAACCTACTTCTTGCTTTGTTTCACTTTGATTTGTCGCCAACACAAGGCATGTTTACATATGTGTCTGGGCATTGGTCTCATGTCGTCATCATTACCTACGTGTATGGGGCGGTGGGGTAGCCTAGTGGTTAAAGCCTTCGCTCGTCACGCCGAAGGCCCGGTTTCGATTCCCCACATAGGTACAATGTGAAGCACATTTCTGGTGCTCCCCGCCGTGATATTGCGGGAATATTGCTAAAAGCGGCGTAAAATCATACTCACTCACTACCTACGGTTATATACAGGATTACGGCTAACTAGTCGGCGGAGGGCCCAAGCTCTTTGAACAGAGTATCGTCCCTTGTGGTGCCAGGAACATGGGATTGTGGGTTAAAAACCCGGTTCATAATTATGTTTATAGGTATGTCAACACCACACCATACTTTTACCCAAGTCTTGAACGTCAAAGACCTGCAAATACTGTTCAGAGCAACGTGGACGTCTTCTTTGTGAAGTGAGAGCATGGATATGAGTACACATACAATGTGAGGAGCCCATTTCGGGTGCCAATTCCCCAAGTAATACTACTGAAACATTGTTAACATTTTATGCTTTCCGCGAACACCTGGTGTCATCAGTGATATTCAGTGATCCATTCATGTATTATTCACAGCTCTTTTTCTCTTTACACCAAACATAATTTTTTTCTTTCTGACGATAGTCAAAACTGGTTACTCATGTGCACTGACGTTCTGTTCATAAAGGTAATGTTTAGGTGTCATGTAATGTTAACTGTTATTCGTTGACCAGTTATAATTTGATATATAATATAATCGGCCAACTGACGTCACTAGAAAGTTGTTTCTCATTCTAAAGACGAGACCACTGATTCGTATAAAAAGTTCTTGTTGATGCCTCATCCTTAGTTCTAGTAAATGATCATAAATCTAAACTAATATGACATATAGATTACAAAATGAGTGCCCGTTAGGTACCGCATTTATTATAACGGCTGAATTTCAATATGTATTTAACGAGCGGAATCCAGTCAGCATCGTTTTGAAAAATACGAGTTGCTAAAAGAAGGTTTGTAATAGGCACGAAATTAGTAATGTACGTACTTTGTACTCACTTGAACTTGCACGCTATCGTAATTCAACGCTGACAAAAGATGTTAGCAGTCTGAAGGTGGCGTATTAATAGAACATTCGAAGGTGATTATCGACCATAGACACCACATGGTTAAAAATATTTGCAACAATGATGACTGCAAACATGATTCAGTACATACAGAATCGAGGCATGTCATTTTAAAACGTTATAAGTCGACCAACTGATGAATGCATAGGACATAATACTTTTTCCTAATAACAAGTAGGGGCGGTGGGGTAGTCTAGTGGTGAAAGCGTTGGTTCGTCACGCCGAAGACCCGGGTTCGAATCCCACATGGGTACATTGTGTGAAGCCCATGTCTGGTGTCCCCCGCCGTGATGTTGCTGCAATATTGCTAAAAGCGGCGTAAAACTAAACTCTGTCAGTCAGTCAGTCAGTCAGTCAGTAATAACAAGTATCTTGTAATAAGCAATTATCGCTTCTCTCGACGTTTATGATGCCACATGATATATTATAAGTTGTTCACTGGTCACGAGGGGGGCATGGGTTGATGTACCCACGATGTTTGTTTGAACATAAACAAACATGGAGGGTACATCAATCCATGGGCCCCGAGGGACCAGTGAACAACGTATTATCTCACCGAACACCTTAATGTTAATTTGAATTGTTTGAAGCACGGGTACAAATCTTTTTGTAGCCATCGCTAGATTTTGCTGACAAGAAAACAGATTTAGAGTTATCTCCCTTCCATCAATTTGCATTCGCAAAACATCGGTAATTACCGTACATCATACATGATTCAATATTATTCGAGATAAAGAATTACTACCACGAAGTACCAAATGAGTTGCAATTGACAGAGGGGTACATTGAAATGTTACTCACTTGTAAGCGGGGTACATTGGAAATAATAGAAGAGTGCTCAGCCAATCAGAAAGCGACATTTATGTGTGAGGTAAGATCAGAACCTTTAACTACTACTATACAGAAGTATGGTTATGATGTCAATCAAACAAGCCCACTACAGTAAATATTGAAAGTACATTTGCATTGTGTGACGCCGCGCCAATGCCCAAAATAGTCTCGTCCGACTATGTGTAATAAATGTTCATTATCATTAAACGGGTGATCTATTCATTGGTGGATAAAGAAAGTATGTATCTCATGTAAAGGCTTCATAACTATGATTGCAGTTTCGTGATAAATATAAAAGTAACGTTTTCAAATACCTTTACCATTTAAAGTTTCAGCATTCAACGGATAAACATCGTTTCAACATCGTGATAAGTGTTTGGATTATACATAGATTGTGAAACTTAAATGCCATACTTAAACGTATACTGTTCCACCCACATGTTCATTGTTCCACAACCTTGTACTGGCATCTTGAGAATCAATACTTGTGGCTATCTAGCGTACATAACAAAGTAATGTAGCATCTCGGGTTTACAGACTTCCAAGCCACAAAATACATCTTCCACTGACAGTGCTTTCCATCGGCACACTGCAGTATAAACTCAGTCACATTCCTAATCAGTTGGTTTAACGAACCCTACGTTTTGACTAAATAACCACTTAAGGCAGGCGATTCTCAGACCTTGAGCAATAACGCATCTTGCGTCGTAACATTAGAGGTGTGTGCGTGTTAGCCGGTCGTCCGAACGCAACATTAACACATATACAGTGTTATCCCAATACGGGTTGCAAAAACAAATCCAATGATTGTTGAATTCTCACTAAGAGATTTTGTTTCTGTCCACAGGCAGTTTGGAGAAAATCCAATCAAGCTAATTCCTGTTTGATAGTACGAGTGAATATTCCCATTACTACTCGCTATCGACTGACGACTTGAGCCTCATTACTGGCGAGCTTCTGCATTAGCTCTTCCACGACACGAAACAGCTTGGAGGGATCCCTGACGGAGCGAAAACCAATCAAAATGACTGTCGTATGATCGGCTTCTCCGTATCCATGGTAACAGGAAGGGTACTTCCCAGCAAGCATCTCTCGTGATATTCTACTGGCTGTGACAAGATATATTAAAGTTCGAGTACACACCAACCGCTCAGATGGCAGTTTGGCCACAACAAGGTAAAGAGCCCCCTCTGAAGCTAAACTTTAGCAAAGAGCTTGCTCTCCATAGGAAACTAAAAATGAATGCGTTAGTAGGAGACGGTTCATATAGTGGGATTGTACCATACGAAAATAAACGTAAGGGAACTTGGAAAAACTTTGTGATACTGTGCTTATCAACCTTTTTAAGTTTCGTGGCAGTGTTTCCTTCACGGAATCTGCAAACAAGTATACACAGTTCGTACCGAATGGGAACAATATCTTTATGTGCTTTGTACGGATTCTATATCATCGGGTGCCTCACATCTAACATCTGCATCCAGCATTTCAGGGCGAAATGCCTCCTGTTGGTAGCGTTAATCTTTCACGTGTTATATTCAGTGTCCAATGTCATCCCTTCCATGTATACTCTTATCCCAGCCTCGTGTTTACTGGGCCTGTGTCAACCACTTTTCTGGAGTATCCAGGAGATCACCCTTCTTGGATACGCTTTAAACTACTCTGCCTTCTCCAACATAAACCTGGATAGCTCGCTTCGTCTTTTCCAGACCCTAATAGTGATAACTGTCCACTCGGCCCAAATCCTCGGGAACCTTCTAAGTTCCGGTCTACTTTCCCTCTCCGATGTCGACTGTGCTGATATCTGGTCAAATGAATTTTCCAATGGAACAGAACTTCAAGAAGTTGGAGCATTTGCTAAATCGGAACGATGGACATACACCCTACCCTTGATCCCTGTACTGACGCGGAAACTGTCTGACCACCCGGGGCCCATAAACTATTACCAGTTTCTGACAGTCCTCTACCTCTGTCTCGGAGTAGTGGCGATGGGTGGGGTCCTGATATTCTTTGAGAGCCCTGACATACTTCTCAAGAGGAGGTCTGGCTCATGGAAAGAAAAGATGATGGAGGTAAAGGATACAGTGTGTGATGCCAAGGCATTCCTTGCAGGATTCGCTGCCATATTCACTGGATACATTCAAGGAGTCATCATCGCGGATATACTGAAGGTAAGAACTCTATATTGATCTTATGTGTAATTTTATATAGTTCGTATAGCATGATGTGTTAGTTTTGAATGTAATATGTAACCATCTTTGTTCCAGTTTCCAAGACTACAAACAATTGCCTATTTGAAGAACATTTGAAACGCTTATGCAGAATACACGAATCAATGTGAAATGAGAGGTTTTAACTTGATATTTAAAATGACACTACCTACATTGTAGGTCCTTTATTACACCTTAACAGATTAACACCGAAACATTTTAATTAAACACATTGAAACCAAACTATTTACATAATTTCTTAAAGTTTGAAATAGTTCACAGATTCATTTCACAGCAAAGGAATAAATCATTGTTGCAATTTAAAAACAACATCTAAAGTATTTTTGTACATGTTTATTTTAAAATGAAATTTCTATAATACATGTGAAAAACTCGTATAAAAATTAATTCTTCTGAACTTGGGTGACATAAGTTGAGTAAGACATGTGAAGCAGTACTATTTGCACTGTTTCAAAAACAACGAAACACCTGCTACAAACTATCACAACCAAACCTGCTTTCATCACAAGGTTTTATTTCAAATTGATAACGTTTTTCTCCCACTCCAGCTAGGTATACGCGTCGTCTCCTATGGAGCTTAGTGATTTTGTAGATTAGAGGAATCCCTTGAGGCTTACAGAGAAATCTCAATTGATCTCCGTTCTTTTCATCGCCAATTCTACTGGGTTGTTTAGTTCTCTGTTTGAATAAACCTCTGTAGCTTTTTCACACAAGTGTCTTGAGACTTTCTTGACCTTCAAAATACAAATAACGGATCGATTTCAGCAAAACATGGGATTTAGAAACAGTTTTTTCTTTGTAAGGGCTTATTAGGACAATTCAAAGCACAAAATTAGCTCCTAAAGAAATGATAGCACAACCTGGTATTGGACTGTTCATGATGAAGCGGAGGCAATTCTAAGATGGATACTTGTTCTTTTGGGAAAAGTCGCATCGTTTTTTAACCTTTGATTTACCGGGATATTCGAAAAGCGATGCCAGTGGCAAATGGGCAAACGCAATTCTGAGATTGAAGTATACCAAAGAAGCATATTACATCATTAGAATTCTTTAGACTAAACGTTGTACTTTGAATTGAACATTTCAAGATACTGACTGTAAGGTTACATTCTTGTTTCCGATATTGGCATCATCTTATTGTAGTGGTTCTTTTTAAATTTAACCTTCAAAAACTATATTCATATTTTCTTCACCTATGCTCAACTTTCCGAGCATGTCTACATTTTACTGATCGCACAAAACGGGTAGCTTTTGTATGTGGTAACAATCAAGAAGAAGCAATACTTATTCACCATAATGTGTGTACAAAAGCTCCTTGAATGTTCTATATATATTGTACGTCATTGTAAAGTCTGACGTTGTTCTATCTCACAAAATATGTTCTCTTTTGAAGAACAAGCTGATTATCTAATATTCATACTTAGAACGGTTAAATCGGCTTTCGTAATTTGGCAACCTCACAAAAGGTCCAAAAATATCCGCCTCATCTGCTTCATAGTATCCGCATTTGTTACGGATCTATCAGAACCAAACTGAAGTTTGGCCATTTCTTTATTACTCAACAGACCTGGAAGAACGAACACACGTGGTTCATCACATCAGTGGCTCCCAGTACACTACAATGTAATGTTCCTCGAACAGACAAGCAGCCCATCTGAAACAGCATTGCGAGATCATTGCTGTTTCAACGTCATTCGTCTTCTTCAGAAATCTATAGGTTCCTAACCTCTTTGGTGCTGTGACCACTTAATACCACGTAAATAGTCTTCATGTAACGAACTCAGTACCCGCGCTAATGCTTTACTGGACTGCCTTGTAAATATGCGATTGTTTACAGACCTACGACTAATTGCGTGAGCATTGTTGGGCAACAAACAAACTTTTAGTTTTTAATGCAAAGTATGTGAATGGCCGGTGCTACCAGCTGTCATCGCCAATATCCAGTGATCCATTCATAGTTTTTCATCCCTATTTTGTCTGGAACGAACTATGGATTATGATTCGGGCGATGGTCGATACTGATTGTTCTCCATCTTTGACGTTATGTATTTAACGTGGATCTTCTTCTCCTTACATTATAATGACGGTACAGAAGCTTTGTCCTGATTTACTGCTGCATGTGTCCTTCAGGCTAATTAATGCCCCTATCTGTTCTCCTAGCACTTTGATTTCATGTTCCTCATTCGACTTATTGATTCCTGGAGATGTTCATCTACGTATACTAAAATTCCCACATGTGTCCTTCATTTGAAGCTATAATTCCAGTAGATGTTCTTCATCTGACTCATTATTCCGATATGTGTACTTCATTTGACTCATTAATTCCCATATAGATCCTTCATCATGTTCATTTGTTCCCATGTGTGTCCTTCGACATGTTCATTACTTCCCATGTTCTTCATATCACTCATTTAATAGCAATGACATTTTCTTCATCTGATTCATTAATTTCCACATATGTCCTTCATAGGGGCTCATTAATGTCCACATGTTTCCTTCATCCTGCCCAATTATTCCCGTAGATGTCCTTCATCGGGGTCTTTATTCTTCATATCAGTCATTTAATTCCCATTTATGTTCTTTATATGATCAATTAATTCCCAATCGCGTTCTTTATCTAGCTCATTAATTCTCATGTATGTTCTTCATGTGAATTAGTAAAAGCCCACATATGTTCTTCAATAAATGCCAGTACATGTGCTTTTCGTTACTTGGTCATGTGCTGTTGGTAAAATGAGTGGTGTTAGAGACAATGGTGTTACATCGGGAATTGCACATAAAGGTCGCTGTTTCGGTGATAATATACCTATTGGATGCAGTTTGATCATTGTTTTCACATTTCGAACAATAAACGTATATATTTAATCATAATAATACATCCCTATCTGTTGATAGATATGTTTCATTTTCCATTTGATGTTCTCCATTATAACCTTTTCACAAATATACATATAGATATAAATACAATATGATTAACCTGAGCACAACGGATGGTTTGTTGATACTATTTCCGTTGACGTGAAGATGTGATATCGCTGGGCAACTTTTTGTATTGGAGCCACGAATTAACCGAAACTGCGGTATCGCAATGAGCGTTATTGCGAGGGGTGACTTTATATAAGTATAATGTAAACATGTTTGGTAGAAAAATCTTATCAAACTATCCAGACATTCATTTCAGTCCCAATTGTCCAATTAAATGGCATTAAAAAGATATCCTGTCAGTTGTATGACTTGAAGACTTTGTCAGCTGTGACAAATGAGGTGCAGTGATACGAGAGCCTCTTACTCCAACAGGAGGTCAGTGATGGGATTGGTGTTAATTATGTTAAATGTGAAATAGACAATTAGTATTAGTCAAAAATTACTCGATGAAGTCTTATCTTGGCCTGTGAGCTTCACTCTGTGTATTCGTTTGCATGGAACCTATACACGAAATGTGTACTTATGCAACATAGTACTTAGGTTAATTGATCCATGAATGCTCAATGGGATTAGGTGTCAAGTACAAATTACTGAGTTTAACGATAAGTCTGCAGCTTTGTGTTTGATTATGAGAGAACTAAATGTGTGTTGGTTTTTTATCTTTAGTTCGCAAAAATTGTTTTCGAATATGAATTTCAGGCCAATACTGCAAATCAAAGAGTGGGTTTGAATCCACATTCCCATACTAATTTGAGCCTTGGTTTGGTAGCCCCACATTTGTTCATCAGGGTTTCACCTGCGCCAGAACAGGTTAGAATTCAGTAAACCATGCTTGTCGTAAGAGGCGACTAACGGGATCGGGTAGTCAGGCTCGCTGACTGGGTTGACACATGTCATCGTATCCCAGTTGCGATGCTCATGATGTTCATCACCAGATTGTCCGATCCAGACTCGATTATTTACACCCCGCCGGCATATAGCTGGAATATTGCTGAGTGTGGCGTTAAACAACAAACCAACCAGTCCACCTGAACCATTTTGGGCTGTTCTCACCGTGATGGAACTGAAATGGTATTCAAAACCCAACTGACCCACACATTAAACAAGTACGTATTACTATTGATGCACTGAAACAAGTAGAAACATGGTAAGCATTGAAACACAACGCTCGATCACTTCTCATAAGTCAACTTTCAGATGGACACGAAGTCGCTTGCACACACATTTGTATATCATTTGTATGTCTAAAGCCAACAGTCACGCAGTGCCTTTTCTCCTTGGAATACCTCCTCAGCAGTCTTTCTTTGATATCCGATAGCTTTGAATACAATCCTATTCAGTTTATAATCCTATTTCCAGAATGACATATTGACATGTCATGTTTGGCTTCATCTTCCATTGGTGTTAAGATGATTCTCATTTGTATGTCAAGTGATCAATCACCATGGCTTAGATGGTGCCATTTTCGTTTTAAAAAGATAAAGAAATGGGGTAATCCCAGTCATCCCCACTTGAAGAACCTTCTTTTCTGTATGCACATCTGGCTCTTGACTTCATCAACGTTTTCTATTACGATGATGAATGATCATGGACCGGCCCGGATACGAGAGGCCTGGTGTTTGATACCTGGTCGCATCCCACCATGATACATGTATAGATGGTATTTGTTGATACCCTGCCTGACGCTCGGCATGAGGGATAGAAATTAGACTGGTCTGGCTAATAGTAAGTAAAACATGGTCTCAGGTAATATTCATGCTATACGGCTTGGTGTCTCGGTGGGTTAGTACTATAAAGCCGGTATTAGGTCGGAATAATATAAGCAGCCAAACACACACATACATGTACGTACGCACGCACGTACGTATGTATGTATGTATGTATGTGCGTGCGTACGTGAATGGATGTGTGTACATGCATGTATGTGCATGCATGCATGCATATAGGATTAACCTACATACACTTTTAAACCCCTTCCTTTACCTCATATTTATCGTGAGACACGAATGTAAACA